CACGCACCTTATGTGGCTGATATTACAAATCGGGCAAACACACAAGTAGGCACTAACATACAGTGGTACAATAAAAATGGCATTGTAACCTAAATTTTTTAATAACGCTCCCTATTGAGATCAGATTATCCTTGCCATTTGCTTGCAGTTCTGAGAACTACAATGGAACACTGACAAGGGCAATTTAAATGCTTGCGTTTGAAGACTGTAATAATTTCTCAGCACCAACATAAACGCCACAATACTTGGGAAGGAGACACTTGACAATCAACAAGGGTGTATGAAGTTCTCTCCCGTAACAATTTTATCATTTCATGGAAATAGTTGGACAATTTATGGCAGTATAACGCAATTGTGGTGTTTAAACATGACCTCTAAAGAATAGTTGCTAGTGCAGAAGTTGGTGCATAAGCCGTCAGCGATTTTGATTTGTTCGTGTGGAAAAGATGCAAGGTTCAATGCGCCTTACCTGTATCCTTTTCATTTTGGACTGATATATTTTTGGCAAGTGCAATTATTTTCTGACGTTGCTCAACTGAACTTAAAGTTCATGCCTAAATTGACACTTCCGACACCTTATGCGTCCACACATGCATGTAGGGACGTCTATTCTGGGTTCGGACATTAGCCGTTCCATTGCTTGCTGCAAGGGTCGAATGCCGTGAGGTGGTCTATGAAGTTGCTGAATGACTGTGCAAGTGGAGGATGATAACTTTTTGCGAGTGGTGCTGACTTCACTGTCATCGCTTCTACTACCGTTACAGCGGTGACAGGGACAACTCGGGTTTTGGGAACGCTTGAATATGAAGCTCGTCAATGTCAGAGGAGACACGCATACACATGCACGCACCCGTGAAAGATGACTAGGCTGGTTAGTTGATAAAAAAATTTGACCCAAAAGGAGCCCGTACTGCTCCTCCATCCATGGTACCGAATATCTAATGCGTCACCAAAGGCGTGAAGAGTCAATGTCGGGACGCCATGCAATCCCCAAAGATGCATCACCTGGCTTGGCGTTGAAGGCTTTACGTAAGCTAACGAGTGCACAAGCTCTGGTACAATTTGCAAGTGTTGCACATCGAAACGAAATTAAAAATAGATTTTTCTAAGGGAATGCTAGTAATGCGAAGGGATTAATTGTCCCTATGAAGCTTGCGTCAGCTTGCATTGGGCTGTCAGCAAGAGCCCAGATCGTGATTATGCAGGAGCTATTTTTAGGAAGAAGAGGGATTATTATAAAATCTGTATCACGAAATTTGTTTAAATACGGTAGTTAAGGGATGCATTATGCCTCAGAATCTCCCGAGACGTGGTAACCTTGCCTTCTTTTTCTTAAACGGAAGAAAGTACAAAGTTGTTAGGTGGCCAAATATGGATGACTGCATGGGGGGTAGCATTTGCTGTTGAATTCTCGATCGCGGAAAGAACAGCAACATTGCGAATGGGTATGCCTCAATGTGACAGACATGGTGATGAAGTGTTACAAGCTATTACACCTCATCTGCTTGTCTGAAGAAAAGTGTCAGTTGCACGAGACGCCATCCTATTAGGCCCTCTGCGGATTGAGGCTCTGCAATGGTGACTTGGTGAAGGGAGTCGGGACACATGCGTGGTGTTTGCTTAGGCTGATTTAGTTGATGAGGCGGGCAATGGCCATATTTGCATATGCAACCATGAGAACGCATGTGATTGCAAACTGCAACATAGGCATGGTTTCCATACCTCCAATGGGTGGAAACGCTTAACAAACCCTTAATGTGTGAGCCATTTGTAGTGCTTTAAAGAAATGCCTTTTAAAGCTTGGCGACATTTGTTGCCAGATTGTTGAAGAGTTTGTTAAGGAATATTCAATTATCTACGCCCTTTAGCACGTCATGAGGCGCTAAGCGATGAGCGGCCTGAACGCCATCTGGAACATCCACTTGGACACCCACGCATGCACGGCCTTCGGTTTATTTTGGATTTCTTCATTGCCATTACAAAAAAGGTCAAAGGCATCTTCTTCGTGGTCAGTATCTGATGCAGCAGCCATCTCTTTTACAAGGTTTATTTTAACTTACAAAGTGCTTCCTTCTTTCCCCCGTCCCCTCCTCCCTCCCGCAAAGGTTTATGAACCTCAGAACCATTCGTTCTTTTAGTGCTCTAATTTGATTATAATATTGTGTAGCAAATGACAAATTTCTCCTATTATTTCGGAAGGTCACGAGACAGAGTTATGACTCGGTCAAAGGCTCGCCAAATCGATAAAATGGCATCGTCGCGGCTAGAGGAAACACAAGGACCTTTTGTTGCATTACCCGTTTTTCTCTCACCGTTCTTTCCTTGTTGTAAGTGGGCATTGGGGAATATGTGAATGTGTGGGCTGATTGTCAGACAAATGTAACAATCACGAAAACAATAGCGTTAGCCTAGTAGCAAGGAAAATTCTCCTCACACATGCACCGCCAAGCGTTGGGCTCAAACAGACTGTCAAACACCTCCTTTCGCATCACCAAGTAATACGGTCCGGTTGCTTAGCCATCCTCAGCTAGAACGGACAAAATGTTGCGCGAACTTTTTAAGACATACCCTCTTACGTAAGCATAAATAAAGTAAGCGCTTCAATTTGACATACCCTCTTTTATGGGATATGTAAATAACTTTAGAAAATGATATCAATTAAAAGATTGTAGAAGTCAACAAATGAATAGTTCAAGTTGATAGGTTTTGTCTCGACAATTCTAGGTGCATAGAATTAAGTAACGACAAGCATTTTTTTGATGCTGCCAGCAAAACGACTTTCATTCTACAGGTAGTGTAAAGAAGGTGGTGATTTCGGCGTAGGGCAGGAAGGGCCACAAGGGCGTGCCCTGCAAGACAATCCCATCGAAACACCACATCTAGTGGGGCTGCCTCATTTGATTCAGTGAACCCTCCAACCAGGTCATATTTGTGACGATTTTAGAAACGCACCTCGCGATTTTAATACCATTTCTGGAAAGGTAGCAATGTGACAAGTTGTTGATCCTTAGTTATGCCACCTGCCCCACCTCCCTTTCAGCTTTTGCACGTAAATTAAAGCAAATTATTACTTCTATACTCAATTCTCACATCGGGCCTCCGAGGTTAACAAGAGGGCTAAAAAATGTGCACAATATGCATGAGACTTTATTATTAAGATGTGACACCCGACTGCTTCCCGTGAAAATAAAATTTTAGGCTGCTTATCATGTAATAAATAACTGTAACAGTGTTACAACTTACTTTCCAATCAGTGAATGCCTCCTTTTTACGATTTGTTTCAGTGGGGTTGTCAAAGATTGTCTTGAAGATCAATCTATTGGCACCAAATGATAGGATCCACGTTTCGCTAACGAGCGCACACTATTAGTTGGGTGTTTGCTTTTTGCACGCCTTTTTGCCCTTCCACCTCCTCTCATTGTGATTTCACGTGATCTCTTCCACTGGTCTGGGAAGCCACAATGCCTTTTTCCTTCAATAAAAAAGGTCAAATTCGATTCAGGCTGCACTATTGTGGGTGTGTGTGCATTAAGGATGGGATTAGGATGGCGGCTTTTTGTCATATCTCCTGCACTTCTGCCATGTGGTGATATCCGCGAATAAGGGGTTAAATTGGATAACACGCCCGGTGGCTTATGGACGTGATCACATCAAAAAGAAGCCCTCAACGAAGCCCAATCAGCATTGGTTTCCCATTCCATGTATTTTTCTTGAAAAAGAAAAACCAGTCTGTTGGGAATTTGTTGTCTCTGCAGCTGGGCAACATCAAGCCCTTTTTATTCAGTTGCATTCAGCAAGCCATTAGATAAGCGTTGGGCAGCTGTTAAACGGTAATCAAAGTGCTCAGACAAGACTTGGTCGAACTCTTGAACGAGGATTGCAGTGAATGCTTGAAACCAAAGTTGTGAGTTTAAAAAGCCACGTCCGAAATGTAAATAGCGCTATGTAATTCAACAGATAACAGCAGCTTCCGCACATACTGGTTCAAGCTGCAATTATGCCGTGAATCATCACAGAGTGGTGTGTCTTATCTTGAAGTTTATGTTTGCAATGCTTGAAACGCAGTGTCGACTGCAAATCATCACCACAAGGCACATACCTGCAATTAAGGCAAGAAATGCACAGTTCAGGCAGAATTGTGCAAGTAAAAATTAACTTTCAGGTGGCCCGAAGTTGGAGGCACGAGTGCTTAATGATACGACCAAAGCACGAGAAGAAAAAAGCCTGAGATTTGAGGGAACTACAAACGGCCGATCATTTGAGTACTACATGCTTCGACCAATGCATCCGTCTTAGCACTTTCTAGTTTACTTTAACTGTGCTCGATCTTGCACCTCACGCACCCGGGATGCGGTTATTCAAATTGGTACGGGAACCCACTGGGCCCATTGAGTCACAGCGACACCCCAACACAATAATGCAAAGAGAGCTCATATAACCACTCGAAAGACTTATTCCATTTCGTTCAAATGTTACAAACGAATGCTCTACAGTCGCCTCCAAAACTAGTTTGTAAAGGGGTGAGTAGAAAAGATAAAGGCACATACTTTGAAGGAATCGGAAAACAGGAAAAACAGAGGAATCAGACACTTTGGCCGATAGGTTCTACCTCATGTGTTCAGAGTCACAAGGGAGATAGAAGTGGGGAGGTGTTTGGCACAGTTGCGGTAGTGAAAAATGACGTAGAGCGAGAGAGAGAGAGAGAGAGGAAAGGGGACAACAGAAGGGGAAAAAGAGAAGCAGGCACAAGCATATCACAGCCCGACGAGAATAGTTATGGTAATAACACCACTCATAATAACGCTTTCGGTACCATTATTTGAGGATTCCCGATGGAGGACACAATCTCGGTGTGCGCTCAAGGCAACGGTTGAAAGGCACAAAAAACATCACAGTATAGCGCAAAACTAAAAAGATGGAAGAGGGTGAGTGGAGGGATGAGAGTCGGGTGGTGGAAGGAGTTGAAGTTTGATGGAGCAGGGTGGAGGACCGGAATGTCACTATCGTTCCGCCTTCTTGCCCGGTACAAAGGGCTTTCGGTTCATCGCCCACTTTTGTCTGTCCGATCCGTTACACTTCTCCATGGTTATTGACTTTCCGTCACTGCTGATAGTCATGCAGAGCCCGCCCTGTTTCATCTCATCAGCCTGCGGGAGTTATAGAAGAGGACGACTTAACATTCAGTGACATTGGCATTCAGTTTGTTTGCATTTAGATTGCAATTCACAGTTTACAAAAATTCTTAAATGATCTAAATATGCTAAATCCACAGTAGAATCAAGGGCAATACTTACAGTATTTTTCCACTTCTGATAAAAAGCAACTGGCAACTGATAAGCGGGAAATTGCCTTCAGCAGCAGAGCGCCTTAAAGGTGAATGCTGATAACTTACATCAGTGTACTCAAAGCGTTGGTTGCCCCCTTGTGAGTGACAGTTGCTGACAGTGATGTATGGCGGCTCGAACCCAGAATCCAGGCAATAGTCATCGCGCCTAATTTCATTTGTTTTACTCAATAACCAGAACTAAAGGGATAGGAGGACATACGTTAAGTGACAATTATAGAGTGAAGGATTAGAGATTTGTAAAATGACTAATCTGACTTTGGAAGTTAAAACTGTTGGATGAGAACTTTTGCAAATCGATCTACTGCGTTTCTTTATTTGCCACAAACCAAAGAAAGACATTGCCCCAGGATCTAATGACACCGTGCGAAAGTGAAATTTGTAAGTAGTATAACCCAGATAACGGCTTCCTGGATGGATGAGAACCAACTTTTATTCCACCAAAACCACAGGTATCTCGTGGTCTGTTAGTTAATCGAGTCTTACGATTCGAATGATGAGTGACTACATGGACAATTTCGTGAATACTACATTCAATCTTATACGCTGTCCGTGGCTAGAATGAGCGCTTTAGTAGAGAGCATCTGACCGTGGTGCATGAGTCCAAAGAACTATTAATGGTGTTGGTGGAAAGAAGGCATTTACCTGATTGCCACCTTGGTTATGGCAAGGGTAGCCAACCAATTTGATTTTTGCCTTCTTCTCATGCGTTGGTGCGTCCATACAGTGCTGGGTAAGGACGTTCCGAATCTGCCGAAGTAAAGGATAAAAAAACATTCCGATAAAACAATACTACACTTTCAAAGTAGATAAGTGATCTTAACCGTATACCCTAAACAATCAAGAACAGTTTGAGGACTCACCTCACCGGATGCAATTGAATCACCCGGAATAAACAATTCGGGGTAAATGTTGTCGATGAACCACTTGAAAGACTTGCAGTTTAAATCCTTCAGTATCTTCTTCCGATCGGAGACATCGCCCATCTCAGTCTGGAAGAACGAATTACATAGCATTGGTAAGGAGCACTCTTCAGCCTCCTTGTAATCTAAACCCCTACCTTGACAATTATTTTAAAAAAACGATAAATAGTGAGTGTTTCGTAGGAGGTAGAAGATGTGAAATACATAACCAAAGAGTGGATTATTTAAAAAAGAAATAGTTCTCCCAGATTTTGAGCGGGAGAAGGAAACGTCAAGGCTCTGCACAAAATGGGGAACATACAAGCTCGCCCTTCTGCACAACTTCAGCGTCCGTCAGATGACCTGCTTATAAAGTTTAGGCAAGCTATTAATAAAGATATTTATTAATATTATGTTACTGAAATTGATGATAAGTCTACTGCGCCAGGGAGAGCAAGGTCAAGTCGGAATATCGGCAAGCAATACCAGTGGTGTGTTACGCCACCAGAAAATAGCCTAACGTTAGCGACTTTGGTAAAATGAGCTAAATTTGTAAGTGGGGAAAGCATGATTTTGGTCATGACGAATCCAGTATAGAGCAGTACAAGCCACTAGAAGAGGATCGACAATAGACGGAATGAATAGCTATTCGAGAAGGAGTGAACACAGAGAAGGGAAGCAGAGGCACCAACGTTCCGGATTCTCAAACCGTTGTTAATAGCATAGCCTTCTACCGTCTGTGACATTTCATGACAGTTGCAACTTCTTGATCTGCATTCGCTTGGAATGAGTTGTGCTTTTGAATGAGCATGAGGCATGCAGAACTAACATTTGAGCTGGTTAGTCAGTCCGATGATGGTGGTCGCTTTAGCTTCCGCAAAACAGTTTGGGATAGAATAGAGGAAATAGTATTAGTAAAGTGAAGGTACGGAGTTAGTGAGTGATCGAACGTCCACAGCTTCGTGCACAAGTGGTAAGTAGCCACACAGAATGTGCAAGTAACTTTAGAGGCTAAGACGATATCAAAGTACCTCTGGATTACATTGATGTTATCACCAACAACGAGGAAATCAACTTACTTCATCAACTTTCTAAAGCCAAAAAAAAGGTACAAATGCATCAGCACAAAGCAGGAAACTTCATCTTCCAATATGCATGACCTCATCACCTGAAGGTGAGATTGGGTCAATATCTGAATCGAGGAAACTAGGAATGGAACCATGTGTATTGGACTCACCTCTCGATAGTTGACACGACTGAAGTAATACTGCTTAAAATCGTCCCCGAGTACAACCTCGGCAAGACGCAGGAGGTTGTGCTTCAGAGGATTGGCTTGCTTCACCTTCCAAGAGTAGGGCGAACGAGTGCGAAAGATATGCCCCACATGACTGCAGGGTATCGTCTCCAACTGCCCCCCGCACATCCATGTCTAGATTATACATACCAAATACATCCGTACAAACGTGCATATTACGAGAAGAAAATACCAGACAGATTAGTAAAGAGCCTCAAAAGATTATAGTCCCTCTAAGCAGCTGTTTATTTTATTAACAGTTACTCACCTAAATCAAGTCATCCTTTTTGGAGCTTACACTAGAGGAAGTCAATCAAATTGTTATTCAATTCAGTGAAAGACACATGACACTTAAATCTAACGAATAGAAGCAAACCAAAAAGATCAAGTAAGTTTGCTTACAACACAATTGAGAAGGGCAAGTAAAACTATGGAGTAGGTGGAGGAGGGGAGAGGGATCCTACCTTGAAGGACAGCTCAAGATTCTCCGCTCCCCAGACTTCGTAGCCCGGATCGTACCAGCCCAGCCTCTCGAAGAAGGCCGCGGAAATGGCAAACAAACCACCAGCCATGGTGGGAGTTCTGCAACACCAAGACAACACGGACTCAGATCCAAATCATGGTTTGTTCGCAGTTAAGCAATAATACATAATAGCAAACAACTGATGAATTAAATACAGATGGATAAGGAAATAAAATGTACAAACGAGTTATGAGATTGCAAATGGGATGGTAGGGTAGTGGTACTTGTGGCATTAGCACAACTAGCTCTTTGGTACTCATCTTGCAAAAACACTTCCTTGACGCGGACTATGGGAGTCATAGAAGGCACAAATTTTCGGGCAATTCCAAAAAAAAAAAAGCATCGATTCCAGACCAAATGGCTAAGGAGTAATCTTTCAGTTGGGAGGTGCAAAGATGTTGAATTGAGATTTCGGTGATAGTGGAAGGTTTAATATCACAAGAAAAGTATTTATAACGGAAGAAAAGTGATCGAGTGCAATCGCGAGAGGCGCGTGCATGTTACACTTTGCGTAAACAAACTTCCACAAAATATGGGTTGCATGGCGTGCATGGATAGCAGCAGCGTCCACTCCCACCATTCCCAAAGCAGGCCAACCGGCATTTGCATGTCAAAATGTGGATGCAAATGTCCCCAAATTCCTAGTCCAACGTACAAACCCACTCGGAAAAAAGTTTTTGCAGCATCAGATTTTGCATAATTATCAAGGAAATCAAGATTGATTGACGTATGGGCAGAAATGAGCAAGCCTAATTCAACGTAGTCTTAGTCAGAGGTCGACAAAACTGATTTAACGTTCGGCTGTGTTGGTGAGCAACGAATCTGACACCAGACGAATAGTGAGTTTGTGAGTTATGAAAAATCTGCGTGTTAATCGACGATATTCAATTAAGGCAAAGGTGAATCCATTATTGCTTGCTAAGTTTCCTAAGTAAACAGAAGAGGAAGAAGGAAAAAGGGTATGTGTGACGAACGGGCAACGCCTGAATAATTAACAGTGAGCAAAGCAACACCTCTATAACGCGGATTTCATCAACCCAAAAGGAAATAGCCCACATTTACAGATAAATGAGGTGTTGGTTTCGAAAGTCCGCGCTATTTTTCCTCTCTAACAAAGGTGATACTTAATTCAGAGAAGGTTGGTACTGCTTTCTACACACCATTAATAGTATAAAGCGCGAACATCATTGGGCATTTCTCCTATGATAGAGACGCTGCGAAATACCTTCCATTAGTGCGATTAGGCAGAGTGGCGTATTCTCTATGAGCGAGTTTCAAAGTAGTAGCAGAAGATAAACAACCATTTCGCCTATTATTTGTCCCTTCAACTGTCATTTAACATGCATTCATAGGTTCATTCTTTCAGTAACAAAAAAATAAAACCAATCACACACAATCAATGCAAATACCAAATTCCTTGCATTTTAAAGGACGATACGGACTAGGACGTAATGAAGCATGCAAGGAGACTTACCGGACGGGTGAGTTTGGAGCCCCAGGTCGATTGGCGTCGCGAGGCGGGATGGGATGCCAACGAAAGATGAGGCTCCAGTCAAAGCCACCCACCTGAATGCTCCTTGATGGAGCGTGGTTGTACTGTAGCGTCTCAGAGCTGATAACGTCTATTACTGGAACCACCACATTTGTACGGTTCTCCGCTATCCTGTCCAACAGGGGCTCTAACCAGCCTTTGGTAAAGATGCAAGAAAAAAGAGGATGTCAGCTCAATATATTTTCTAAAATCTACGGAGTGACTCTATTCCCTTAAAATCTCAGTCTCAAAAATTTTGCTCCTCCCATAGGGTAGCCACTTCGAAGGGAGTGGTCGCATAGTGTTAAATGACTGGCAACAACGAGCAGTAAGATGATACTGAAAAGAAAGACTAAGTAGAGTTGGAAGAAATTAGGCTGACTCCTTGTCTGAGTGAAGTGGACCTGTAACCACGCAGCCAAGATGCGTGGGATTTTCTTATAGGCCCTATTTTGCGCATAGCCACAAAAAATCACCTACGTGGCAAAACAGCATCACAACAGGTTCGCCACCTCGAGACAGGATCTTTCGCGCAATGAATGGGTGCAAACGTGGATGGTCAAAACGGTCCAGAGAAAGAGATTTCGGACAGTGGATTGTTTTCTCGTGAGATTGTACGCGTGGTAAAGAAACCAAGGTAGCACAGCCATATGCTAAAACTGTGGTAAGCGTTGACAGCAAAAGGGTGAGGTGATTCAGTGAACGGAGAAAAGTGTATTAATAGAATTGTAATAGCTACTTGGTTCCCTTAGAGGGTAAAGAAGGCAAAATGAGTTGACTAATGTGCGGAAAATAAGTCACTAGAGGGCAGGATTGGAAAACCCGAACAGAATGCTAAAACGAGCTTGTAACTGCAAAAGAGAATTCCGCTAGATAAATAAACGCATAAGAGGTAACTCAAAGCCCTCCTGGTGTGAAATTACACAAGTAACTTGTGCCAACAGTGAAGACTTTGTGGTGCGATTTCATCGCAAGACTGCATGTCTGAAAGCCGTAGAACTAAAGAGGAAAAAGAGCAGATGGTGGTGGCATCCAACTCGACTATTGTTTATATTATTGGGGCAGAAAGAAAGATGATTAGCCTGTTCCTGTGTGTTCTTGCCGCAGTTTCGAGGAGACAACAACGAAGGCTCGCGAACCAAGGAAGACTGAACGCCGGCAGCGAAGTGTTCGACGGTAAAAAGCATAATTCGTCCCCTTAGACGCGCCGCATAAGCAATCTAGGCCAGCACCTGATTTAGCCATACCAGTGCTACCTAATTCCGAGGGTTAAGTTTAAATTTTCTCACAAATTTACAAAAAATCGTGGTGAATTAGTTGACAATGAGGAACAGAGGCACGGAACAGATAAGTAAGATATGCTGGAAACATCTTCAATGGAATATTGTTTAAGAAACAGGGAAGGGCGGGCGATGATCTTTCGTTTATTCTTTTGCTTTGGCCACAGCAACAATCTTCGATGATGCTTTAGCATAAGAAATTCCAAGAAAAAATGAGAGTAATTCCAAAATACACGTTTTACTTGATGCCGTGAGGCCAAGACAACCATTCTAAATGCAGCCAACTACTAACAGTTAGTAATGCAGAAAGTGGATTCTAAATCCACTCGTCTCGTGCGAAATGAGGTCAGTTGATCATTCGACTGAAGTGACGTGCGACAAACATGAGTCCACCACCAAAACGTAGTCAACAAATACTCACCGATGTCATGGAGTTCAGCGTGCAAAGAAAATGATGACGGAAGAAAATAGTTTACACCGAGTAGCACCTCTTGAGGTTAGAACTCAAAAAACTCCTGAATTATTGTTTACAGGATAGGGCTTTTCGGTCCCGGGTAAAGTAACTTGCAGCCACAATACTCTTAAGCTTTCATGTCTTTAAACTTTTTCTGATTAGGCTTGGGAGGATCTTATAATGCCCATAAACTCAGCGCTCTGCTAGACTGCCTAAATAAAATACTCATTTCTAGTTTTACAAATATTAGGCCAATCACCGTGGCTACATGCTCGCTTGATACTTTCATTGTTTTCAAAAGGTGACAAAGATAGTTAATCATATTAAATTCGTGTGAATCAAAGTATTATCAAAAATCTGATGAATTATATGTTGTCATAATACCTAAGAAGAGGGTCAGACAGGTGAATAATGACATGTAAGTGGAGATAAGCTACAAACCTGATGTGTAAGTATGCTCAATTTTCAAGGTCTTATTTACCAAAGGAATTCCTTGATGAAACGCAAGAGTCTGGTAAGGGATGTACAGTGCAGATATGAACAAGTAGACAAGGTGTATCTTCTACCATAAAAATGGGGTTTAACGTGTTTTACATATGCCTGTGCAGCAAAAATAAACACCAGGACACGAAGTACGCGAGAGGTGGCAATGAGTACTTGAATTGGACTGCCTGACGCGGCCAATAGCACAGATACAGGAGACCTAGGCGATAGTACTTGGGTAACCAAGACTTCAAAGACCTTGAAGGCAGTAAAGTATCGGAGCGGAGGGCAGGTGTGTTTGACCTCTCATTCGATGACCGCGCGCACGCGCAAAACCAATGTGCAAAGCACTAAGAATTTTCATTATCGTAGCGAATGGTCATTCATTTCAATGGAAGGATCAGTTCGAGCTCAGGTAACCTCCGCACAAATGCAAAATCCATCCCGATAGGATTTGGGTGTCAAGAGCAAGACGAAAAATAGAACGGATATGTCTGAAGTGGCGTAGGGACTACAGAAAAGGTGAACTTGCTTCTTAGGCGTGACGAGATGGTGTAAGGTGACAAAATAGCCTTAGGTCAGTTGGTGCACTAATTACCAGTGGTACATTCTATGTGAGAGTCGAGGAAGACGAGGATCTTGCCGGTAGCAGCTTTAGCGCCGAGCATTCGTGCTCGAATCAGACCTTGACGCTCCACCGCCCGGATAATTCTCACCTTCTCCAGACCAGCCATGTACACCTCTAACGGCTTCTTTAAGTGATCTAAAATTCGAGAAGATAAAAGTAGGTAAATATTGTAATGCAGTAGTCTAAGCAATGGTAGCATAAGCATACAACGCTAAAATTACGTTTAAAAATAGTCAAACTACCATAAAATGTTTATGAAAGCAGTGCATATCACAAGTAGATACTTTCAAAAATGGTAAAGGGTGCTTAAACCTCACAACTTTTAGGATCAGCCCATCTAAGCCATCATTGCCATGGCAGAACGCACAAGACACCACTTATGACTACACACGCAAAAAAAACGTTCCAAATGTCACTCAGAACGCAAGTTTTTTTTCAACAAATCAACAGTGTACAAATTGACACAAATGGACCCTTTACAATTAAAGAACTAAACGCCTTGGTTTGAATGTCGCATGCTGTGATGTTTGAATAAGAAGTAGTAGACATTCACAAGAGCGAGGGAAGCAATTTGAGAACCTAACTTCAATGCAACATAGATAAAATATATTAAAATTAATCAGAACGCCTCGGCTACCGGTGCATCATCCCCCACACTGGCGGTGTGCTGACGCTTAGTTTATTTAAAGTGAAGCCACTTGCAGGTTTGCGTCTTCAGTATTATACTTTTACAACTTCGGTAGATTCAAAAATGGCCAGTTATGGATAGAATAGATTAGCAAAGTATGAGGATGTGACCAAGCAGAAGAGGTGTGTACGCCTTCACAATGAGGTGGACATGCGCTGGGTTCCACTTGTATGAGTCATCGTCGCCTCGTACCAGGACAATGATAACAAGACAAAAAACTGAGCTGAACACCGTGATTTCCTTGCTTAACTCAGAGGTTTGAAAAAGTTGCCTCTTAAATGATGATGAATGGAGCAAAGTTATTTGACGTAGGAGATTACAACGAAGGAGCAGTAAAGAAAAGGGGTGAGAGAGAGAGAAACCACCTACCCATTGTAGAGGCATCATCAACCAAAATGACCTCCTTGACAAGTTCCTCCTTCGATCGGTCGAAGATGGAATGGACGGAGCGCAGGAGAACACTCCAAGCTTCGTTGTGAAAGCAGATAATGATGGAAGCCGGATCGTGATGTCGATTGTACTTGAAATCGAGACATCTACGGGGAATGCGCGTGAGTGTAACACCAAGTATTAACTTCTATCAACGCATGTGGGTATTTGCTAGGCCAATGATGTGAAGTTGAAAGGCTAGCCAAGCCATGCATTGTTGACCTATGAACCTTTGCTCCCAATACAATGGATCCACAAAAATGTAAAAGTTTTACATTGCACACATTAACGGATGGAGCATTTGCGTTGTCAGCTGTAATTTTACAAACCGCCGATGCAAAGAAACAGTGAGAATTTTGGAGAGGATGAACTGTTGAAAAAGAGGAGGAAGCACTGCATATGGTCAATTAAATCCGTGTGTATAAACTGGAGGCAGTGAAGGAAATCCAACTTCCGGCGTTGGGTAGTTTACTCTTGGCTGAGCTGCTACTCATCCCAGCTGGTTGCGCAGAGAATTCGTATCGGCGACAAAAAAATAGGGATAAAAAGGAATTTTCCATTCGTGTGACTCGTCCACCTCTTGGTCGTGGATAAACCTACGACAGCCGTTCCGCTGCAGGACGATCCATTAAGTTACAACGGAAGTGAGAATTGAAACTGCACGAACAATGCAGTCAGAAGGCTTAGATAAGCAAAAGTAAAATAGCACCAATAATGCTTTCGGTCGAAAAACACAACAATAATCTTACGTTTTCAAGCACAATGAACACACTTGGAAGGTGTCGATAGATGGGGAAAAATCAAATTGTTGGCGATGAAAATTGGCACGAAGTGGAGCACCACACATCTACATTTTACATAGAATAGCCGAAAAACCGACAAAATTAAGCCCACAAAAACATGGTGACCTTTACCTCTAAAATAGTGAATTTTTGATGGACTCTGTGACGGATTTAGGACAGGGGAACATGAATTTATTCACGAGATATTTCAAGCTCGCAATTTCTAGAGTAGTGTAGGCAGGGCATACGGTTGAGAAGGACCTCATCATGTGTCTGTTGCCAAGAGATTGTGGAAACAGCACAAACAATTTGCTGCTCAGAACCATCAAAAATTACAAAATCATCTTCACCAGGGCACTGGGTGCAAGCGATACCCCTGAGTGGAATCGACACCTTTTACAAAGCCGGGTACGCCATGGCCACAACAACTTGAAATGTTTTGATGCTTGCATCAAAGACTTAAATGAAACACGAAACATTGAAAGGGGTAACAGAGCCATGTGCAAGTTCAGGTTTCGACTTGCTTTTGAACAGTCGATGAAAACACTACCAAGCAACAGCCCCCGTACCGTACCACTGGATTAAAAACAGTAGTGGTGTCACCAGCAAAACTTGACGGCAGATAGATCGCCAAAGTTCAGGTGCCTATGCCAGGTTTCAATCACATCATGTCCCTGATGTTTATAAATTGACCAACTAAAATGTATCGAGAAAAGTGCAATCATAGTTGCACAAAGTAAACTTAATTTTGGCATAACGACTGTGCTCAGTTGATTCTTTTTTGGCCATCATGCAACACCTTGAACTTGATTAATCACACAAACGTGCGAATCACAGATGATGAAACTGATATTCCAGAAGCAAGAGTAGTTTAGTACGAGGTGGAAATAAATATACGTCAGAGCATTTCTGACTAACAGATTCATGAGTTTAGCGCTGATCTTGAAGGTCTGAGTGAAGTTGCTACAAGAGCGATTGACTATTTTCAAAGTACACATTTTCATGTTGAAAGAGAAACTGTCGTGCCGTAAATACAGGGTCAAAGTCTTGTATCAGCACTTAGTCGCCTGTATCAGAAGCCGCAACAATAGTCCGCGCGGCATTGCTGAGTGCAGCATCGCCAATGCACCTCTGCATTATCGGAGGAAGAATAGTGCACAGCAGCTCCTCGAGTTCCTACCATGTCTTCGATCAGGGGCGAATACCTCCTCCTTTTTGGAACAAAACTTGTGCTATGCACTCTTGTCATCAGTGTACAAAAGTCCTGACTGAGATGAGAGGAAAAAGGGGTTAGAAAGTGAATAATTTTCCTGGAAAACGGTTGTTAACAAGTGCTGAAGTTTTCTTCACACATGCACGCCATAAGCGGATACGTTTGCATACAAACAAACACACACACACACCCACACACACACACACACACAAATCAACCTCGAAACACTGCATTTGGAAGCCCATTCGATGTCCATATTTGTGATTTATTAGGGTATGTAATGTAAATTTGTTCACACAGCAGACCTGTCCAAAGGACGAAGAAGGAAACGAAGCTGATAGTGATAACCATGGGACTCAGAGAGAGACGGAACATGGGGTATTGGCTCTGGTCTATCGATGTGCACACCTATGAATCACAGCCTCTCGGTATGGCAGCGCGCAGATGCACCGACAAACGTGCACAATGGAGACGAACTCATGTGGCGTGCTTTCTGAGGTCAGTTTTCAGTCTCCTTAGTAGACGGTATGAGACAATTAGAGAGATGTCTTGCACCGCGACATTTGTCTAGAAATAAACATCCACCTCTAACTGCACTATCACATTATCCCTCATTGTTGTAAAAGGTCTTCCACAAAAATTCAGCATCAATATCTGAACGATTATTGATGTTAACTCCGAGAAAAATAAGCTCTCAAGAGCATTAAACAGGAGAGAACACATAGCTGACTCCACTGTGAACACCAGTTAGAACAATATCGCCAAGCGGAATTTTGTCTAAATTGGATTCCTATCAGGACGGAGGAGGGAAGAAGTTGGGATAACGACAACAAAAAATAAAGCAGTGTTTAACAATTAAACCTAGCTGAACTGCTGGAAAACGGTGATAACAGCGACTTGATGGCAAATTGGAGCCAAGGAGGAGCACTCACTGAGATTCCCGCATGTCGGGAAGGTAGCGCCGAACGCTAATCATATTGCTGGCGTACTCATTGAAAGCGTTATTCTTCTCTCCCTCATCATATTTCTCCCGTTCTGCCGGAGGGAGCCCTTCCTTTTTTATCACAACTGCTTTGCCACCTTCGCCTGAAAATAGGAGGGAAAGGGGGAGGAGGGGTGGGGGGAGGAGAGATCAATTTACAATGAATCCAAGGCTGTGACAAGGTAGAAGGGACTTGCAATTAAGCTTCTCTGCTTTCGACCGGAGCACACTTATGAAAATATCGATAAAGCATTAAAACTGTTCAATTGAGACATTAAAGCATGGTATAATTCAATTTACCCAAATGGAGCAACTTGAGTAACTCGAGAAAGGAAGGTAGCACATAATTGGTGCATTATTCTCAAATGTGTAGGCCCTTCCCACCAATGTAAATAGAGGTAACAAGCATAGCAACGGCATAGGCGAATGAAACGAAACAATGCGATACGACAACTCCAACTGCGAACTCAGAGTAAAATTACTTTTCTTGCGTTCGAAAAAAATGAATGGAAGTTGCATAAATGCGAAAGTGGCACAACAAATTGAATTTTAAAAAATCAGAAAGGAGGTCATACATTAAGAAAGACAAGAAAGCCCAACGGAACGTCGCGATCTCGCCAAACATTTTAAGATCTGATAAAATTCGCACATTTACATAGGAGGTTAGAGTTTTTACCGTGAATTTAAAAATAACGCATAGTGATTCTGTGAAAACAGAAAGCCTGATTTCTAACTGGTATATTTTCACGAAGTGATCTGCTCGAGAAGTGAGAGTAGACCAAGAAGACAGTAAGCTAATAAACATAAATTCAATGCACTATTTTCACCTCAAGTAAAGCAACAGAAAGATGAAGCAACTCATTTACTCTTCAACCAAATAAAATTATTCCGCCAATACGAGGTACGCAGTTAGCGATTTATGTAGAAATTGTTCAAATCCCTCAAAATGCCTCAATCTACCAAAGGTTGACAATATCATTAGCAAGAAAAATGGGGCAAAAGTTTGTCGAGTCTAAAAGAAAACACAATGCATGTTATTAAGGGTAGCTGTGGGTACAGAGCAAACAAAAGTCCAAGTATAACATGAGATTTCGGAATGAAAACTTGCTTGACTTAAAAGACTGCAGTAAAGAAAGGATTGAATATCGAACTACCTTTGATTGATCACTCAAACTGGTTTCAAAACCAAAAAATCTCCGCTCTATAAAATTCTAAAATAACTTCATGCAGGCTTAATGAAAACTGTCTGTTGTCCATTGGTTAATGCAGCTGCTCCGTCAAAATATTTATTAACAGTATCTGGTAAACTTGCCACGTCACACAGACATTTCACTTAGTGAATTTCATCTGGATGCAAAAGAACTTGGAGATGTTCAACAGTGCTAGTTGCCATACGATCATACTTATAAAAATACGGGAAGTCCTTCCTAAAGTAAATAAGATTGAAGCTCCTGAGTTCGCAAACGATAACACAAACGTGAATTCTACGTATTGTAGATGATTAATTGTGTGAGTCAAACGATTAGACCATCAACCATAATGCTATACGGCGCAGAACAACATAAAGAACTGCATTACCGGGGCCTTTTGAGTAGACAGTAGACTTTTCTGGAGGCCTCCTTGGGGTTAAATGGAAGGGAATTCCTTCATCATCAACAGAATCCTGAACCAATTCCTTATCAGCTTCAAAACGTTGATTCTGATGTGGTGGATTCATAAATGGACCATCAGGTGGGGCAAGATTGGCGGCTTGCTGCTTTTCATCTTCAGCAGCAGCTTCGTGAATAGCGTCAAGGGCGTCCTGAGCAACCTGTGCATTATCGGGAAGGGCGTCCAGAACTGGGCCATCAACATGAATATTTTCAAGGTGTTTCTGTACCGCAGCGGGCTGATGAGGACCCCGGTGCAATTCAACAAGGTTTGGAGGATGTTTAACATGATTTTCGGCAGGAGAATCCACCCCATCAACAACAATGGAGGGAGGACTGATCAGATCGGGTGAGTGGTAACTTTGGAGGAAATAAAACACAACTATAAACACACAGAGACCACCCAAAGCGACCGCTTTCCTTGACCGGCGAAGAAAGACCGTCCGCATGATACCCCCTTTGGACGATATGCTAAAGAAAAAATTAAAAGATACTTTGTGAAGATTACTTGAAAGAAAGTTTTAAGTTTGGCCAGTCTAGGGAGCCGCATAGAAAAGTTGGCAGGTGCCTCCATCGAATACTAAGATCCTTCGCCAGAAGTACTAAGCTGAACGTCATGTCTCGTATTTTAAATCTTAGCCAATAGTCCTCATGATTTTCGAATACGAACTAAAGATTATTCAGCACCGTTAATGTTAAAATAACACTTGGTCGAAGACGTTTGTAATTAAAGGGCTGACATCAAAACGTTAAATGAACCAATTCAAACCGAAATAGGTAGGAAATCACAACAATATGGAGGTGAAATTAAGAGTACCGCCATCACGACAACACTTTGTGCCCGGCAGACACGTCAAAAGATGAGATAATGACGAAGAGAGAAGGAATGCCCAGAGCTTCGGCTTAAGCCTAAAGTTTTAATGAAATATCAAGCAAACAGTGGTAACGCATTGAACTCGAGGAATTACGTCAGCGAGAGAGGTGAGATTTATTTACAAATTTTGTGGGAAAAAGACTTACAACTAAGGCACCAAGGTGAGGTGGAAATGAAAGCTGCACACGGTTTCGTGCGTGTGGGCAATAAGAAGGAGCAACGACCTTTTGGAACGACCTTTTTATGATAAAACAATCCTTACTTCTAGTCGTATTAAAAACAATAGAAAGATGAACGTTTCCTTTCCCTTGAGAACCAACTGCTTTTTAAGACAGTCAAAATTTTGATTGCGAATTATGGCAGCTGAAACTTTTCAAAATTATTTACCGTTTTATAATAAGACTCATCTTTGTTTGTTATGCATTGTGATGAGGAATGTAGCTGTGATGAGTTTGTTGCTTTACGAACCTGCTTGTTTTAATGTGCTAGTAAGGCGGGCGACCATAATTAAAACCTGACTTCATGGGTGACAATGGTGTCAAAATCTGGATTCGGAGTTGTTAATTTCATATCTATGTTTATTAACTCCGAATGAAAGATGCTCTCTTGGTCCACTCTTCGTCTACTGCAGGCGTGGTAGCAGAGCTGGAACTACAAGGGTAATGGGAATTAGCACGTAGTGTTATAGCCACTTAAACAAACTTAAGTCCCGTGGCTGCGTTTAGAGTACGGAAGTTCTTGCGTGTTTTGCTGGTCCGCAAAGTATAGTGACAAGGAAATCAGTACTATCTCTCTTTTGTTGGTAATCATTCGAAACTCTAGTGGTAACACTGTAGTCTCTGCAACACTATCGTCCAAGTGCCTGTATGTCTGCTTATATGTGCTTTGTTTGGCATTAAAACACAGTTCGGCGCACGGGCAGGACGTACCTTCGGGTTCAGACGCCAAGTCCGTTGACTTCTTAAGCATTTTGGTAGAATTGAGTGCTTTCCATTCATCTCGCGACATCTTAAACAATTAGTATGCATTGCAAATACAATAACTCTTCGAGATGTGTGAAACATGTTTTGCGTTATCCATTTACAGCACTATTCCCGCTTTGAAATTCTTCCTGGTGGCCGACGGATCAGACCAAGAGAGCAGTGTGAACAAGCAAATCTATTGGGTCGCAAGTTGCTCCATCAAAAAGTAATGGGCATCAGAACTAATGTTGTACAAGTCGTTGTCGTGCCAACCCGATTTTAGTAGTGCTGTTGTAAGTTTGAATTTGAATCCCTGGTACTTCTCTTAATCGAGTACTCTTGCAGTGGATTACAAAAGTCACCATTTTAGTGATGCTACAGCATTGTTACCAGACCGTTCCACCCAGGCGCCATGCGCACTAATGAACTAGTGGACACAAACAGCATGGGCTTGGTTTTGCAAGCGGTTCATGGAGTTAGTTGAGATATAAAGAATTAAAATTTCTTGCTTTATATGCTAGAATCGGAAAAATGATAAGTCAAATGTTCGAGTTGATTTTGAGTCTTTTCAAGTGCTGTGCCATCATCCAATTCAATAATCTGTTGAAGTTTTTAGAATGCAGTAAGCAAGCCATTTCGCATAGTTTTGTCGCAGATTGCTAAAGGAATATATGCGAATTAATGAAGTGATGGGTGTGGCGCCCAAGAGTTAGAGTTCGACGTTCCGACTTTGTTTACGGGGAACAGTTGTAGTAGAGGTGGCCTAGTAAACACAGCCACCGGTCTTGTCGCTCTATGAATGGCCGAATGGATGGAATCATTCAACGCCCTCAATGCGTATATAGAATCTAGCTCTGAGCTGTGGTTCTAGTAAATAATTACACACCTTGTTGCAAAGGTAAGTGGTTGGAGAGATCCGGTTTTGTATTTCATTGTTGACGGCGAATAAGATTTACGAAGGAAAACTTCGACTCTGGCAAGTCATTGCTGCCCGCACTTTAATCTTTCTTGCTTGATAAATGACAACTACACGGAGAGAGTTGTTGGAGGGTGCTTAAAGGAACCATTCGGGCATGGTACCAGCAGTCACAACACTTAATTAGGGCCTTTAACAGAAACACTTTGGAAGTCAAATTAAAATCTTTAGAAATGTGTGATTTTAATGCTTGGCGTTACTTGGTTGTTAGGAGATGCAGCCATAAGTAAACTGTTTTCTGTAATATTTATTGACATTATTGCAGTATGCTGAAGCTGGTTCAAATCATGATTTCTTCGGCCCATGTAAGAAATGAAATGTTTGAACTCAGCCGTCAGTCTATGGCCCTGGTGCGAGGCCTGACCGCCGCACACCGCTGCCATCACCAACTTACACTCAAACAGATTGCTTCTTCGTCACCATTCGTGTGTATCTCGGAGGAGGTTCAGGAAGCGTTGGTTAATAGACGGGCAGTGGTGGCTCTGGAGAGCACTATATTAACTCACGGTCTTCCTGCTGACCGCGCTCTCCGCCTAGGCTTGGACGTGGAAGCAGAAGTACGCGCCAACGGCGCCGTACCAGCCACTATCGCTATCCTTGACGGTCACCTTCGAGTTGGACTGACGCACTTGGAACTTGACCGCCTCATCGATGGGGCTAGCCGGGGTAATGCCAGAAAGGCTGCAATTCGTGATCTACCTTTCGCACTCACCTGCTCAGACCCTAGTCGCGTTTTTGGCACAACTGTGTCCTCCACCTCCTTCGCAGCTCACTTAGTCGGCATTCGCGTGTTCGCCACTGGTGGCACCGGGGGTGTGCATCTCGGTGCAGAAGTCAGCATGGACATCTCTTCGGACCTGCTTACCCTCGAGTCAATTCCTGTTGCGGTTGTCTCCGCCGGTATAAAATCCATTCTGGACATTCCAAAAACACTTGAGCTGCTGGAATCAAGAGGTGTAACTGTAGCCAGCGTGACAACAGACATCTTTCCTGCCTTCTTCACCAGGAACTCTGGTGTAAAGTCGCCCGGAAGAGTTGACAGCCCTGAAGAGGCTGCACGACTCTTTGCCACAAGTCTTGCTATACGACCCTCATCAGGAATGTTGCTTGCTGTTCCGATTCCCGAGCACATGCAGGCTGTCGGTGAAAGAGTAGCTAGAGCAATTGAGGAGGCTCATAAGGAGGCTAAGCAAGCTAACATTACCGGATCAAACGTGACACCCTTCATGTTGGAAAGAGTTAGACAGCTTACTGACGATGCTTCTCTGGAGGCCAATATTCATCTCGTTCTTAACAATGCCAAATTTGCTGCCCAAACCGCCGTTAAACTCATCGTTCAAATGAGCACACTATGCAGCAGAAATGCACCTGTTAAAAATCCAGAAATCGTGATTGTTGGTGGTGCCAATGTTGATATGGCTGTCAAGTTGAGACCTGAGCATTTAAAAACCACTAAGGATATTTACCCTCCTGCGAGTTATTTGGGAACGGTTGAGGTCCTTGGAGGGGGTGGAGTTGGAAGAAACGTCGCTGATGCAGTGGGGAGACTCTCCCCATCGCACATTTTCCTAACGGCTGTCTCGAATGACGCTGATGGTCGAAATTTGCTTCAGAGTCAGCCCTTCATTGCATGGAAAACGGCACCTGCTTCGAAATTTTCTTCGCACACAGCAAAATATGTTGGACTGCTGAATTCGACTGGTGAGCTCTTGTTCGGAGTTGCTGATATGGACATTCACAAGCAGGTGACTCCAGAATTCGTCGAAAGTGAACTGAAAAAATTGTCATTATCTCACACCAAGGTTATATGTGCTGACGGAAATATGGACACGAAAACTCTAAAAAAGCTCATCAGCATAGCCAGGTCTCAGAATGTTCCATTTTGGTACGAGCCAACGGATCTGCATAAGTGTGTTAGAATTATTGATGCCATAACTCGAGATCAACCGATTGATACAATTTCCCCAAACTTAACTGAACTGAAAGCCATTTATCTGAGGGTTACCAACAAGCAGCTGCAAATCAACCCTACATCCCATCAATCCTTAGTGGAATGTGCCAGCATGATACGTCGAGACCTGTCCACTTTGGCTTCAAACTGGTTTGTGAAAATGGGGAAAGACGGAGTGGTGTTCGTCAATAAGAAAGAGGCGTTCCACTTCACATCCCCTGTTAAGGACCAGGCATCTATAGCAAGTGTTTCTGGTGCAGGTGACAGCTCTGTTGGGGCTATGCTATACCTTCGATACATGAAAAAATGGCCTTGGAAGAGAGCCGTCCTTGGAGGATTAAAGGCTGCAGAACTCTCATTAGCATGCAAATATCCCGTTCCAGACACACTTAAGCCAGAAATTTTTGAAAACAATGGAAGCTTAAGTATCTGGGCAGAGAAGATTAGAATTAATACCTTGTGAGATCATAGCCTGGCAATCTTTTCATTTGTATGCAAACAGAGACCTAAGTTAACTAACCAAATGCGTGCTATGTTGTCAATTAAATTTGGTTAAGGAGATGGGCTTGGTTCTGTTCCCCTCAAGGTAATACTTCGTTTGGAGTGGCATTTATAAAGTCGCAAATAGTCAAAGTATTTGGGCTAAAGACTATGCGGCAATGCCAACTTCAGAGACTGAAGGAAATCACATCGCATAAAGGAGCACAGGTGCGAACCATTGTCGCGACATGACGCTACAGTCGAGGTCACACCAAGTCACGAATACATTTCTTTTATGTGGTTGCGACTGAAGGGCGCATTCAAGGGCACTCTCAAAAGGAAGACGCTTTAGCCTCGGCTCCTCACAAATGCTCTTGCATTCACCCAAGTTGCAAAGGCTTACTACAGCACTGTAATATCAAAACTCTATACCAAGTACAGAAGAGCACAAACTAATATACACCAAGTTCAGAATTTAAGTTATGATAGAAACGGTGCTACACATAAAGAACTAATTGATTAAAACATGGTCGAAGATTCTAGGTGGTAAAAAGGGTTAAGTCGAAGCGTGCATACAATATTCATTTCGATTGATTGCAGGTGCCAATAAGGGACACTGGAGTCGCATTTTCTTCTGGGCAGACTGTCCTTCAGGTTTTGACAAAAGTCAACACTCTTTCAGCTTGCCTGATTTTTTGTAGTTCGACGATCACTTCTGTGGATTGCCTAGAGCTTTATCAAATATTTGAAGGTATAGGAAAGGCGAGTGCGTATATTGGAACCTAATGGCCTAATCAGGGCTCGAAGACAAGATTATAATGTAAAGAAAAGATAGTGATCTAAGAGGTTACACTACATCGTTTATGTGACCATCTATGTTTGACGGTTACTCTGTACGTAAGTTAGCCTTTGGACCATGCCAAAGCCTTTTTTCATTCTCCTCCCTCAGTAAATGTTTCAGTCTCAATTATTGACTTCAACTGCCTAATGGACAATCCAGACATAGTACAGTGGTTGTCAATCCTACAAGCCGTTGAGTAGAAGGTATTGTTATAATATTGAGTCTCGGAGTTCGATACTGCTTCACAGCTGTGAAGAAAATGAACCGATACAATTACTGACGTCAAGAACAATTGTTTTGAATTCTGGAACTCCCGCATGTATTATACATGCCCTTACTCTAATATTTTTGCAACTCAGCTCATGCAAATAAAATGATCTATTTGGCCGTCATCATCTGGACTGACATTTAAGCAAAGCCAAGGCCCCATTCCTTCTCATTATTTATTAGCGTACGCAATCATATAATTCTTTTGCTCTCTATTATTTAAAGAGATGCTTCAAAATGTCATAGCTTTATTTAAATTTATCTTGCATGCTAGGAATAATAAAAGCAAATCTAATGTACACAGTAATTTTAAGGTCATTGTTTGTAATAGTCGGCTGCTTTAGCGCGCACCAGACGACTTGACGCGCCGTGTGATGGCCCATATTCGAAAGTACTCTGTGTGCGTCGGCCGCGAGAGGGGTTATCGACGGACGAAGAATGCCAAGCGTGTGAAGCCGTCAAATTCCAACGGCGTAAGTCTGAATTTCTGACATCGTAGCTTTGATAGCACTCTGGTAAGCAATCAAAGTTTACAAGGAGTCTTGTTCGCGAAATTGTTGGATTTGCTCCATTTGAAAGACGTGCTTTGGAATTGCTGAAAAACGACAGAGAGAAGCGTGCTCTTAAATTCCTTAAGACTCGAGTAGGCGGGCACCGACGTGGGAAGAGGAAGAGAGAGGAGCTTATGGCTGTTGTGAAGAGTCTTCGTCATAAATAATTTCCAAAGATAAAACATTGGCGGTTCTAATGTGGCGGGCTTGTTTGATTTCTTGTGGCAGTGTTGGTTATGGTCGTAGTTGCTGTGGTCTTTGTGTACTTAACTCAGAGATGACTGACAAATCTCACTTGTCCTACTTTAGTTTGGAATGGTGGCTTCTTGTTTTCTGGAGGATATCGGGCTGAGCTCTCGCAGTTTTGGCGGTGGGGTTGCTCCTTTTTCGCGTGTTTTGGCTTTAGCTTTTTGAATCGTGGGGGGGTTATCTCCCGGAAAATTGTGGTCGTGAGCTGTGCAGCCATGTGGGCTGTTTCGGAGGGATTGTTGATTCCCTCGGGCTTCGGCGCTGCGTGGGCGTGCGCACCTTACATCTAAGTGGTTTTACAGTAAAGAGGTGCTTCCTCTCCTCAGCCTGAGCGCTCGACTGGCTACGGCGTTCAGTGTCCTGAACATGACTAGTGAGAATCTAGTGGTCGGTCTGGTGCTCAGTATTGACAATGGGAGTCACGGTCTCATGACTCGTCCATTCTCTGCAGCTGTGTCTGCTGCAAGAAACGAATGGTGCTAAGATTTGCGCCTATTGTATAATCGTGGTAGGCGGGCTTGGCTGCGGGACGGACAGTACCTTGCTTACTGCTTGATTTTGTCACAATGATTCGGAGCGATGCCTTGATCTGCATTTTCCTATGGAGTGGGGCATACGTGATGCATTGTGGCTAAATAAAGGACAAATCGAACCACATGCCAAATCCCCTGGACAATCCCGATTGGGTGGGCACAACAGCCTACGTGCTGTGTACAACACGTCCAGGCTTGTGGTCGCTCATTAGAGGTGGACAATCCCACCCAATTTTTTTTTCGTCAGAGATTGGGATTTAGTCCTTTTTTTAACTATTTGCTGGTACAACCCAAGCTCACTATATTTTGCATTTATCTGGAATTTGTGAAGTGACTCAGATACATTCCAATGGGTTGTAGTAAATGGGCGAGAGTGCTAACTGATCAGGAATACTTGAATTGGAAGCTCAGTAGTCTTGGAAATTTACTCAAATCATCAAGTACAGACCCTCGCCTTTAATGTTGCAATGGCATTTAAAACAAATACAAGGTAAAGTGGATGCTGGTTAGGCTGGAGGAATTAAGATGGATTTGGAGGGTGGAAAAGACGGAATGATCAAATATAATTGATATGAAAATGAAGATTGCTTATGAAATGTTCCACTTCTCATGGGCTTGTTTACCTACTTCCACTCACCTGTTTTCGCATAAATAATTGGTGCTTTGAAATCCCAAACCAAACTGAGCAGCTGGTATTTATTCTAGGCATCTGCACTAAACTCAAAAGCTTCATGAAATTACAAACAAATTGTCGGGAGTGAATGGAAACACAAGTAGACTGATGTGGGAGATTTGTCAACAAACTACCAAATGGGTTAACTGCTGAAACGTTAACAAGTTATCTAAAGCACCTATTGAAACGTAATTGCGTCAAACATATTCCCTTTGAGCAACAGAGATGTACACTACACATCCAGTTGTGCCAGCGATTAAACTTGGTAAATTTAACGGGCTATGGACACTAAGACAAAGAGAAGGCGTGTGAATGGCCAAAGACGTCTAGATAACTTCAATGTACATGCAGAAAGCATTCTATGAATGTGTGCAGATCAGATGCAAAGTTGAAATGCTGAGCAATAAAAGGGCAATGGCCTTTGATTATAAATTCAGCAATCGGTGATGCATACGCACCACTTGAAAGAGGAGTTTGCACACTGTCTTCTTATGTTCAAAGGAGGGGCCAAGTCATAGAGTGGGGTGCACTCAGAATGAAATGCAAAATGGACAGCAGTCTGCATCTAGTCAATTTACAAGCCAGCTAAAAATATTTTGTCGTCCACTCAGCGCCAAGCATCAAACTCCGTTAACTTTTGAACCTTGATAAAAAAGCAATATAAGCTAATCATTACATATATTGCCTTTTCAAAAGACAAGTAATTCACTATAAGTTTTTTTAATCTTAGCAAGGATGAGATTACAAGCGTGACTGAAAGAAGAGTTTAGTGAGGCTCTGGCGCCCAAAGAAATAATAAAAGAGCTGTCAGATAAGGAAAGATGGCGGTAAAAATGCATAAGAGCAAGCAGCTGAGAGGGGACTGAAGGTTGCAGAATGGCTTAGAAGTGAGATGTATGAGTATGAAGAATAAGTGTAGAATGTGCTAATGTGCATACAACTACAGAGGCACGCGAATGTCATTAATGCCGCCGAAGCCACTTTTACTGCTGCTCAACATAACGGAGAAGCGAGGACGGCGCGACCGAGCACCTCGAATAAGTCTAACTTCCTCTAACGCATCTATCTCATCATTATCCTTTTGCTGTTGTTCCATTGAGGAGTCTGTCAGGTTTAATGGGCTCTCATGGGTATCTGCAGCAGCTGCCTCGTTTGACGAACCGACGATACGCAGTTTCGAATGCTCCTCTTCAAGTGTGAAAATTTGCATTGTGTTGGTGCTACCACTGGTCGCCACAGAACCCGTTACCACGATAATGCGATCTCCGCCCTTCACGAGACCTGTATTGCGCGCATGCTCGATAGCCGCATTAACCCGATTGTCGATGTCCAAAGCCCAATCGCCCTCGCTTTTACCTACGAGCATTCGTTTTTTTTTCGGTTACGTAAAAGGAGAAAGGCAATGCAAACGAAAATAGGAACTATAAAGGGTATGCAGCATCTTTGACAATTCGCAAAGAAATTCTTTATCAAGAGTAGAAAGTAACATTAGCTTTGGAGAAAAATAACATAAAAATAATCAAAGCAGACTAATCGATCCAATATCACCATTTCGATTCTAAAAGTACGGAGGGCGATGAGCAATACTAGCTGCAGTCTCGAATGATCGCACCTTTTGACTTTTAGAGGATTCCAAGGACTACTTTAAGGCAAATGTTTGCGCTTTATTACAACCAACCACCTTTAAAATGTTGAAGTATTTACCTGTATAAACGTAGCAATGGAGACCGCGGTATGCAAGACAGTGACGCGCAACGGACACATCGAGGGTGATAGCGATAACAGAGCACGGTGGCCGCAACATTGCGATGGATGTAGCCGATCTAGGGAAGAGAGGATGTGTAAGCGTTAACGTGCAATTATATTACTAACCTGTAGACGAATAGTTAAAGCATTTTGATGAGTATCATCTAGGTTTTAATAAACAAATTATTGAACATTTGTGCAAGTAGGAAGCGAGTATTTTTGGCCAAGCACAAGCACTTGATTTAAAAACAATTGTACGGTAAGCCCAAATACATTTCAACCAAGATTATCACAAATAGTTGAGGCAAAATGAATCCAATTTTATTTACTTACGCGCCAGTAGTGGTTATTACGAAAATAGCTGTTGCATTGCAGCTGGCAGCGGCCTCAGCAGCCGAGGCTCCTGTAACACTACGAATATCAAATGATCCCTGTTCCATTTGCATTCGGCATTGCTTCAGTTCACCACGAGTCTCAAAATGAAAGACAGCCCGTTCTGCCTCGCGACATATCTGCAAAATGTACAATAGTGTTAGATACCTCTCCATCCAAACATTCAAGCGCTTACATTGTCGACAACGCGGACAGAGTCTAATGCATACAAGCCCCACGAAGTCTCCATAGTCAGGACAAGGCCGTCGGCCCCATCTAAAACTGCGTTTGCAATATCTGATGATTCGGCTCGCGTAGGTCTTGGCTTTGACACCATGGATTCCAACAACTGTTCGATAATGAAAACTGGTTTCTCTGCGATGTTACAGTGAGCAACTATGTACTTTTGCAGCTTGAATATTTTCTCGGGAGTGTACTGCATGGCCAAGTCACTGCGACGAATGACAAGACCATCAGAAGCCGAAATCAGATCATGAAGGCTAAAACAAGGTTTCAAAAATCAAGATGGAAAAATACTTCAAAATTGCCTCTCGAGTTTCCAATTTGGCAAACACTTTTGTCGTACCAGGTAAATTGTTGCGTGCTAGGTTGATCATAATGCTATTTTCAGCGAAGCTAGTGAAAACATAGTCCACCTAAAATTACGAAAGAGCTGGAACCTACTCCACATTCCGCCGCAAATTTAAGATCTTTAATGTAATTTAACTGTACTGACTCATGATACAAGCGATCTCTTGGTAAAGTTACACGTTTGTAGCTCCCAATGATGCCTACAATTTAAAAAACAATTTTTATCAATTACCTCCCTCTTCCACCATGCAATTAATACAGTCCAGCTCCACATCCTTAACAATTAGAGAAACCTGGCCATCATCAAGGTAAACTCTATCGCCCTTGCGCAGACTCTGAATAAGTTGGGGAAAATACTTGGTATTTATAAAAATAATTTCGGGTGTGCATTTAAATTTGTAATGGTCATCCAGGGTTAGCGTAACGCGAGCACCCTCTTTTAAAGTTGCTTCATAGGAAGGACCCTACATAAAATGCCACAATATGTGCTACCATACTCCTTCAAAGATCCCAGTTCGTACGGGTGCAGCTGTCATATCCATTGCAATACCCAAAAGACGAGCATAATCAGATTCTTTCTCTATTTCTCGAGCGTAGTGTATAACCGCTTTGCATATGTCCCTTGGGGTCATGCTAAGGTTAATCAACATAATGTTCATTCCAGCATCCATCATTTTTAGGATGCCCTCTTTGGTCTTCCATGATTTACCAAGAGTACAAACGATTGTGGTTTGTCGCACATTGTCCGCAATCTGATCGATATCTAAATTGCATGTATGTTGCAAATGTGATATTGGTCTAGTCGTCATAATTAGATTCTGAAAGGCATTGGTCAATTCATTTATTCTCGTTTCAGAATGCGTATTCAGGTTGGTGGCAGAAAACTCCATCACTGCAGATTTTATTATAAAATAAAACAGGCGGGTGTCCTAAAAGTGCATCTTTTTTATTGGGTAAAAGAAGTCGCTTACCAAAATAATTTTAACATTTAAACAATTATGCAAAATTCTGTGCGAAAGCTTTAAAAATATATATTATGATCTACAGCACTAAGGTGAGTACTAATGAGAAAACGAATTTGTTGCAACGAAGCTTCCACACCAATTACATGTATAAATGCAGTTGAAGCTGCTTAAACATTAAATAACACCCATAATTTTGGCGTCCTGAGACTTTCCACAGGGCGACAGGAAGCAGTAAGTGGAAATGAGTTCTGGCTCACCCGTACAAAGGCCAGACCAATATTAAAGTAACTACCATACTAGAGGTGGTCACGTAATTAAATATTACAGTAAATTTTCGGATTGAGCGTCTTTGTAACTTTCTTCTGCAGCTTTACTTGTCTAGTGTTGTGGCCTCCCGAGACTTCCCACGGGTTATAAGGCAGAAATTGAAACTGGATACTTTTCCTCGCTATGGTTGTAGTGCTTTTTTATGTAACCACTCAAATTTGGTCGTCACGTTGGAATTCGTTTCGTTTTTCGTCCATGCTGGCCTTCTAGCCATGCTACGGCTCTGCATCCCCTCCCTCTCCTCTTAGAAAACATATGCTCTACCTTCTTCTACCTAAGGGTGCCACTACAGTAATCTTAAAGTAGATGCGCTGTAATACTTAGTTTATGCGACCTCTTGATATCTTTGGTTTCATTTTGCCCTTGTACACACGGGCTGGTCTTTGAGTCATTTCATGCCTATATTCCTACTTCCTCTCTTCGAGAACATGCATTATGCCCAAAATGATACCCTCTCGGGTTAAATACATATATTCTAAGAGGAGAAAAATGGATTGTGTCTTGTCTTAATCAGAAGGTCGGTCCACGCGTACAAGAACCAGACGAATATAAAAAGTACCGCCTGTGGCGTCCCGAGACTTCCTACCTGATAGAAGAAGGCACCGATTGAAGCTGGACAAAGCAAATGGGTCTGAGCATGGCCCGAAGGCGACGCATAAGTACAAGAGCTAGACAAATCCTAAGGTGACCCCCAAACGTCAGATATTCACATCAATAACGCATTACATTGTCAAGCATCAGGTTGTCACATAAACAATGTATTACAATACAACTCTAGGAGCCTTCCCAAATCCTTGATAAATTAAGGGAATGTAGAAAAAGATCCTGGACTCAATAGTGGGGTTCAACTCCTATATAAAAAGGCGGGAACCGAACTAGTAAAAATCAGACGTCTTGCCCTTAGCGCATTCACAAACCACTAGAATTAGTGGCTTAAACTGTGCATTTTCAACATTTAGTCAGCGAACCCTGAACACTTTAAATGAAGTGGAATTTTGGTCTCGCATTAGTAGACCCACATGCACGTCTATGCGTATCTTTAATTAACAGTCATGAGGTTTATTTCCATCCCCATGGGAAAAATTGTCTGCATGAGCAAATTGATTGCCATCACTTTAAAAAGGTTAGCAAGGCACTCTCAGGTTAGCCTCTACACTCAATGCAGTGCCAACGGCTTTCCTCTCGCACTGATACGATATTTTCATTAGCTCGAATAGACATAATTATTTCATTGCATTAACCCCATAAAGCATAATAGACGCTGATCCACGCAAAGTTACTCCATCCTACTTCAATTTAATAAAGCCTGCAATAGATGGTTCTGCTAGATTAATTAGGCAATCTGATGGACTCACGGTAGTGGGAAATGGGCAGAACGCATGTATATGAACCCAGCGCCAAGCAAGCAACACTTGGGAAGAAGGAGATATATTTCGGAGCTGATGTATCTCAGATATCCATTCAATCATGCGAAACGATCCCCAGTCGGCATGTGCCTTGCGCACCATTACCACTCTAACAAGCATAGAAACTAAAAGTCTAGTCGAACTCCAATGAACGATCCCTGGTCCGATAGTTTTTTGGAAGTCAGTGCAACTAACAAGTAACTTCGCCAATAGGAAATTACCTTTAAGGCAATGTATGTATGCAGCCATGCTAAAATTGGCAACAGTTAGTCAGTGGAATGCATGACCCATTCGCATTCAATGCCTGCACTCGACACTGCAGGAAAGAAACAGGCAGTGAGTAGCCGGATCGAGGTATGAACACTGTGTGCATACCACGGCAATATGGACCGAGGCGCGTGAGTCGTTATGAGAAAGCCAGAAAGCCATCTGACTTCCTCAATTCGAAACAAGGAAGAAAAATCCCACGAGTTCCAGTTTCAAGCGGGAATGTGCTTAAAGGGAGCAAGTCGTGAGCGTCTAAACTGCTCAAAAGCAGAGCAACGACGAATGTGATGCTGGTCCCACTCCTTGTATTATCTCGTAATCAGAAACCAATAGTAGCTTGCCGACTTGTCGATATGATTTGGCATTTTGTACAGATAAAGGAGTCAAACTATCCCTGCTATTGTAAGCCCTGGAATCGCACAAATTGCGTGGTTAGTTTGTAAACATCTTATCTCCAATCCATTAGCGTCTCGCATCACTCAGTCAGTCACTGGTCTGAATCATCAGCAACTGACTGCAATCAAGCACTCAATGATGCATTTATTCAGTAAAAAAGCAGCTAAGATGGAACGGCTTTGAATCGATTGCAGAAATCACATACGGAAAGAAGTATTTGAGCCAAGGGGACAAGCAACGGTTACTAAAGGGGTGGAAGCATGTCGTTGACGCTGCCATAGATGCTGTTACCGCGGCTCAGCATCACAGAGTAGCGTTGTCCGACTGCAAACTCCTGTCGAGCCTTACTCGCACCAACTGCAGAGGAAAATGGAAAGGCAACGCCGATGTGTTCCATCGACCATGGACTCTCCACTTGCGAGAGCTCATGAGAGGAGCCAACAATGCGGAGCTTTGAATGCTCTCCTTCGAGCGTAAAGATGTGGATAGTGTTGGTGCTGCCACTTGTACCCACCGAGCCCGTCACTACGATGATGCGGTCGCCACCTTTTACAAGACCCGTGTGCCGAGTGTGCTCGATGGCGGCGTTAATCCGATTGTCAACGTCCTCACACCACTCAGTCACACGCTCACCTAGCAATCACAAGTGTGCTCAATTGCACAATGCCCACCAAGTATCATGAAAATGACATCCAACTCCCAAGATGTTGTTTTGACGTGCATCTTGCTCTTTAGCAACCATCACAAAACTATTTCACGCAAGTATACAAGCATGTACCAAACTTCTTTATTAAGTTTATAAAGGAATGTCTCTCGCTTTTTGTCCGACGGATAAGGACGGGTGCGACTGAGAGCATCCGGCCTTTATTCTATTTACATATTCACGAAACGATGGTGCACTGCTAACGCGACTTGTATCAAATGTGGCAGCGAGGATTAAACGGTTGTTCAGTGCAAACAAAATGCTAAACGGAAAATAATATCTTGCTACCCATAATGTGGAACTTGTACGATAATGTGAGTTGCTGCTTTTGAAGCACAACAGACGCTAATGAACGTCAGACATTTCGGAGTGACTATGATTCCTAAAAATCCCTAAATAACGGAAAAGTGGAGCCGATGTTTCCACTGCTGGTTCAACAGAAATGAGGAACTGCATTCTGCAGCTTACAGCAGCAGCTTTACTAAGTCATAAACAGGTTTGCACGAAAAACATGAGCGAACGCCTCACAATCGACAATTTGTGCATCAAGCGTAGCTGCCTTGACTCAGCCCAGTTATGTGATGGGCCTTAACACATCGACACTTCAACTTGCACATCGATGAGAACGAATGCCCTACAATCGCCATCACCGAACAATATAGTTGGCCACCTATTACGCAACGTGGCTTGAATTGAAAATGAAGAATTCAACAAACCAAAAAAAATGCAGATAGGGTCGCTGGTCGACCCCAAAAGATGAATTGAATAGAGGTTCGTGACGAAATAGGACGATGCCAGGATGTATGGCATGGGAGGACACCTGCACCTAAGTCATAGATATTTATGGCCAAGCATGAGGTAGCATCAAGGCACGTTGTACGTACTAACCCAGATTAGCCGTAACTCACAAAAGTATGTCTTTTGAGCGCAACTACTCTATCTGAATAAAAGACCAGAGTACAAAGAGCACCTAGAAATCGAGGTTTATGGATGGTTCTCTAGAGATTATCAAGTGATGCCTTCACGGACCTACCAATAATCACCGATACCTTAGCAATGTGGCACGCATAAACTAAGGTATTGTTGTAGCGACTTAAAAAAAAGGCAAAACACGTAAAAAACCTCCTGAAATCCTCAAAGACCAACACTGTGATGAGTTGGTATGTCACACAGAATTTAGCAAGACGCATTTTGAGACGCAACCACAATTTGACCAAGAACTAATGAACCAGTCATCAACTGTGCAGACTGCCACTGCTCTCCAAAAATAAGCGTATTCAGGGGTAATCAGACAATTTCAAAGGAATGTTACCATTCGCGTGTGGAACTGTGATGTGTGGGTCAAAAAATCTCTCAAGTAAATTGCCGGTAGTAGTTAAAATCGTTAGCGGATACTGTAAGTCCCTATTCGGATGCTCATATTCGATCGTAAGTGATACTATCTTTATAGACTACACAACTTCTAATCGACATCAAACCACACCCTCACCAGCATAGAGATAAGGATGAAGGCCTCGATAGGCCAAACAATAACGCGCCACAGCGATATCAACCGTAATGGCAATCACAATACAAGAGGGTCTTGACATTGCAATGGATATTGCCGACCTAAAAACAGAGAAAAACGCAATGCCAGACTGTTAGTAACGAACTTTTGACACTGCTGAAGAACATTTAATTAAAAAGAGCTTAGTTGAGCTGGCATAGCAGGCACGCAGCATACGTATTAAGGTTAAAATGGTTTAACAAATTTAATACTTACGCTCCAGTTGTGGTTATAACGAATATCGCAGACGCACCACAACTGTCAGCCGCTTCCACGGCTGAGGCTCCGGTAACATTTTTGATCGAATCATTGACTTGACCACGCAGCAATCGACAGTAGTTCAGCTCATTCCGGGAAGTCTCATGACAAACCGCCCGCTCAGCCTCACGACAAACCTTAATGCGCACGACACGATAAGTTTGCCTTAATAAAAAAACCAAATTTTGCGAATAAAACTCACGTTATCAACGACGTTGACGGCGTCGAACGGGTACATACCCCACGATGTTTCGATTGTTAGCAAAAGACCATCAACTCCATCGAGCACTGCATTAGCAATATCCGAGGCCTCGGCACGTGTCGGCCTCGGTTTAGAAGCCATGGATTCGGCCAACTGTCCAGTTACAAAGACAGGTTTATCGGCCACATTGCAATGGCCAACGATGTATTTTTGAATCTTAAATATCTTCTCCGGCGTGTAATACATGGCCAGACCACTACGGCAAATCAAAATGCCATCAGAAACTGCTATTAGTTCTCGAAGACTAAATTCCAAGTTAAAGATAATATTTCCTACTTTTTAACAGACTCTCGGGTCTCTATTTTGGCAAATACTTTTACTGTTTTCGGGAGGATACGTCTAGCATCCTCAATCATGCTGCTACTGCCAGCAAAGTTTGTAAAAACGAAGTCCGCCTAACGAAATAATTACTACTAACCTTTACTTACACCACATTCAGCAGCAAAATCAAGGTCCTTTGCATAAGTCGAGTAGAGGATCTTCTGATCAAGTCGGTTCCGCGGTAGTGTAAGACACTTAAAACTCCCAATCATACCTATATCTAGGCGAAGGATATAGCATATCGTTACCTCCTTCTTCCACAATGCAGCTAATACAGTCAAAACCAATGTCCCTAACTACAAGGGTGACTTGTCCCTCATCCAAATAAATACGATCTCCTTTACGAAGGTAATGAATCAGTTTAGGAAAGAATTGCGTATCTATGAATATTAGCTCTTCCGTGCAATTAAATTTGTAATTCTCATCCAATGTCAACGTGACGCGACTGCCTTCCTCTAGTTTTGCTTCATACGACAATCCCTAAAGCACAAATGGCAAACTTTTTCCTAACAAACTTCTCTAAAGGTCCCAGTTCGAACTGGTGCCCCTGTTACATCAATTACGATCGCTATAAGACGTTCATAATTATTCGACTCTTCCAGTTCGCGGATGCATCTCACAACATCCTTGCAAACATCCCGGGTTACCATACTTAAGTTGATAACCAAAATGTTCATTCCAGCATCAATCATCTTCGTCAGTTGATCTTTCGATGTCCAAGACTTTCCTAAAAAAATTATTCCATATCATCTGGTAAACCTAATGTACACCCGATCGATGTCTGCCGAATATTGTTTGCTACTTGATCAATATCCAGTTGGGACATATAGCACAAGTGAGAAGTTGCTTTTGCAAGCATTATGTTATCGCTTCGGTTAGTATATATGATGCCTACAAAGTACTCTAAACCGGCTTCAAAGTCTACCCCACTCGTCAAAAACGTAGTAGCCAAAACCCCAAGCCTAAGTAGAAATAAAGTCAGCGCCGTATATTTCCATAATGCGGCCGAGGTACGTCAAGGTCAAAAAGTCAAAATGTAAAATTAGTGTATACTCTGTTTAGTAAAAAAACAGTTCTTTTTGGCAGTCGCCCAGTATTCCTAAATAATTATTACACCGAACATTATTAATTTCATTTTTTGCCAAACTCAAAAACATTAGGCAAGAGTCAGGCCGAACTAGCGGTCTTCCTGCACGAAAACAAACGTTAAAGATATAAAGTTCGTTGACTTGCTCATTTGACTACTTGCACACTTAGCAGTCAAACTAATGCTCACTTTGCACACAACAATGTGGGTTGACCTACGGACCACGCCAAAGCTCTCTCTCTGGTATTTCCCACCCTGCATGTAGCGAAATAAGATCTATTCCAGCATATATGCACCCCAAGAATAGAAAGAGTAAGAGGTCTTGGAAAGGACCAAGGGACAGCTCATGCGTACAAGGGCGAGACAAACACAAAAGCAATCACCAGACATCAGGTGGTTACAAAAACGATGTGTAACAGTATCGCCCTAGTCTTTCACCTGTGCCTTCGCAAGCTGGGGATTGTTACAGAAAAGTTTAATAGGTGTCATGAAAGGTATTTTATTTTATGCAATCACCCTATGTCTGATGGTTACTTTAAGATTCGTCAAGTCCTTGTACTCTTGGGCTAACATTCGGGCCAAGCTCAGGCTTTAACCCTTTCCTCGCTTCAGAATACATGCATTCAGTTTCACTAATGCTTTCTTTTGCTCGGTACGAAGTCTCGAGGCGCTACACAGAATGATAAGGGGATTTGCATACAAATGGGTTATTACCCATGCCAAACCTGGGATAGGTTTGCAAGCATTTTGGGCATGGAATTTGTCTCAAATTTCTGCATTTTGTCTAGAAGGATACTTACCTAACATAAATTGCTTAATCTCTTTCCCTTCTCTCAAACGACAATTATTTAGCCCTATCTTATGCCATCTTTTAGCTTGTGGGAGGTCTTAGGACGTTGTATTAATGGCAACAGAATGTGAACTTAACTTTTTTCACCACTGCCCGTTGTGCAGTGCGAAAAAAGAGTATATGCATAAAGTGAAAGAATTTCTTCTTCCTTTTTTAACAGAGGAGGGAAGAACGACGTATGCATCAGACATTTATCGTATTCCCATGTTCCATTTGTAATATATGCTAGTTTGTTTAAGTGTACTTTTAAAGGTGAGAGGCGGGAACCAACCGGGAACATAAATCACATAAGTGAAGTCGGCGAGGAGCTCCGCCTCTGATTGACATCTCCAACTCACCTCATCTGCATCCCGTTCCCATCCTTTCGAATAGCAATGCCATAATAAAGCATCTGCAACCTAACTACCTTTTGAAGTCTGAGGACCAAGGACCAGAGGGTAGACAGGCGGTTACTACACCATTAACTAATGATGACAACTAGGCGGCACCATTGTTTGTTTTAAGGTTCACCCTATTGCGACCTTGTGTAATTGCCGGCAATGACAATACGCTCAACACAATCTCCATACGGGATTATGTTTGATATCGATTGGATAAAGAAAAACATGAAATAAAGCTAAAAACATGTATTACAGGATAAACAAATGGACCGGGTCAAAGCCGGGCCCGGAGACCAGTCTACGCGTACGAAGGCCAGACGATTCCTAAAGTCGCCATCAGACATAATGTGGTTACATAAGCAAAGTATTACACCCTCAGTCTCATGGAAGCTGATGAAGGGCATTCCTTGTATCATCGAATATTTTGCAATGGTCGATGCGGGTTTCCTAAAGAGAGCACCGGAAGATTTTCTCAAAGTAGAAGAGTGCAATGCATTATAATCTTTTCTTGATTCAGATTTTTTTTTGGAAAGTTATGATACATCTGCGATTATAACATCCTTCTCAGTCAGCTACGTGTACAAATGGAGGTCACTCTGGTGTTCACGGCACTCTTGATTCCCCAAGCATGTTTCCAGCCATGTCAAAGCTGAATGGCTTCCACTTTCCTTTATTGCAAGTATATGGCCCTACCTTACGAGAAGTCTTGGGATGCTGTAGAAGGCACTTTGGAGATGTCTTATAAGTCAGCTATTCTAGTTAGGGTAGCATGGCTGCAATGCATTTGAGATAAATTGATGCTGGCGGAACGTGTAGACCGCCCTCTAGAGTAAGACAGTTATATCTCGTATTCCCCTGTACTCTAGCAGATACCTAATCAAACTTTTCTGAACAATTTACCGCTTATGAAGACGGGAACAGGTGATTCTGGAAGTAAGGTGCAAAGCACTGTAACGATCACACACTTAATTTTGCCTAAATACCTTGATAAAATAAGGAAAGTACTGCAGTTCCTCTTGGTAATGCGACTTAATAAGGGAATAGTCCAGAAAGAGAATTTTGCTAGCTTTTATAAGCCTCCACATCTGCATGATTTTAGACCCACGTGAAATCTTTTTAGAAATTGCTGTTAGCGGATAACCATTCCTTTAATCGAACGAATGGAAAAGCTAGACTAGACGACAATTTGAAGTCTTCAACTTTGTTTTTACTATTAATAAGGCCACGTGAAGTAAAGATAGGAGTCAAATCTCTCAGCCAATCAGTCTTCGTTTGTATTGTTCGTTGGTGTTGATTCAGGCTTTCCCTGTTGAACTTTTGTCCCCAATCCTCCTATGAAATTTTGTGCTTGTGGAAAGGGTTGTTCTGATGTCTTATCTTTAATCCGATGTGTAAGTTGTTTTGTTTAATCGATGCTAAAACTGTTCAGAATAATACCCACCGGACCGTAAATGAGAAAGCGAACTTTAGTCATGCCCCTCTTGCCGTAGGAAAACCTAATTCAGATATTATTGGCTCAATTGACTCTCTGGAAACTAATGAAAATTTGGAACCTTCTGGCTTGTCATGTGCGGATGGAACTGCAATTGACTGTGACCTTCCATCCATTTCGATTACAGAAGCTAGCGTTCAATCTGCAACCGAGTGCCTCCTTCCAACTGGCATTATTTCACATGCTGATAGTGAACTTCAGTTATCAGTGAATCGAGACCTATCTTTTGCTGAGGAGGCTGACTGTGTCCCTCTACTGTGCCTCAGCACTTCGGCGGCTACCACTCCAACTACTCATAATAAGATGCCACTTGGTGGTCATTCAACTCAACATAATAGCTCTTTTCACAACTTATCTTTGCGCTGCTTGTCACCTGCAGACGCCAAGCTGACTACATTGAATGCACCTGCTTGCTCTGGAAAAAGAAAATCGGCTTCTCAGAGCTCTGATGCGTTGCTAAATTTCGGGAAGGAAATGCCTGACTGCACGGCGAAGTTAGTTGGTCTTGCTACATAACTTAGACGTTCTAGTCTCAATACCTCAACTTCTTGCTTCCGTTGTTGCAACACTGAATCCAGTAGTGGTTCAGAAGCCCTTGAAGATTTACTGACTCAACTGAAAACAGATGAACCACCGAAGCAAGTTCAATCCAAGGCGCAGTCCGATATTTCATTTGTGATTTCTGACGGTTCATCATCGAGTGATTTGGAATTGGGCAATGATCCCAGTTTCTACCATCGGATCGACAATGCTTATTTGAAGGGATCTTTGAAGTAACCATTATTTTATTTAGCGTTGTTATTTCTTGTCAGGCAAATGGCGTCTTTGAGAAACAAACCACGATTCGACTCCAATTCTGATAGCGGCGACGAAGTGAAGTCATGTGACTCTGAACTATCAGAGACTGATGAATTTTATCCTCATCCGCGAGCCGACTCGCACCCATCAGTCGTAGATGTTCCACGAAGAAGTCGCCTACGTAGTGCAGAAAAGGCGTATGCTGTGTGCACTTTTAATGGCTCAATGAACCAAATGCTCTCTTAACTCTATTATAGGACTCATTTGAAGGCAATTGAAAACGGTTCCACGCTGCCCTTCATATATTCGTTGAGTCCATTGGATATTATGGCTTCTTCACAAACATCCATCTTCAAACGTCATCCCAGTGCTGAAAGGTTTGTAATAGTTTTCGTTTTCGCATCCCTTCCTAGTAGCAGTTTCTCATTTTTATGTCGATGAGCTGATGGTCTTAACTTAAATGTGTGGTTAGATGTCGGCTTAGTTTAGTTTTACGCCCTTCAGCCCCAAGCATTCCAGGATATTGTTTGGGGAACTGGAATGCTCTTCAAAACATAGGTCGTTTTCATGGTTTTTTTTGAATGGCGATATTTGGTGTTTGTTGTGGTTAAACCAGATTTCAAAATATATCGCCGAGCTTCAGGATTATGCGTTTTTATACTTCGAGTCGGTATCTTATTATCAAATTCACGGTCCTATGTTTAGGTTCGTGAAGAATTTTAAAAAGAATCGAGAGGAGCTCGCAAATCGCCTTTTGACGGAGTTCAACGAAGCTATTTTTGCAAACCAGGTAGCCTTTCTTACAAGCGAAATTGTCCTTTACTGATAAGTCTCTTCCTTCTTAAGTAAATCTGGTGAATGCGTTTCATTCAAAATATTCTATCCACACCGAATAGTTATGTAATAAGCTTCCTAAGTGCGGCACCATGGAAAGATCATTACGTCAGTAACTAGCGGCTAATTTGATGATTTTGGTTAAGCTTCCGGGAGAGCTTCGAGTGATATGGAATGAACGCCTTCTCAAAACGGCTGGTCAATGCGTTTACCTAAAAAGGAATTCTAAGCATCCGGATGGTTCGGTGACCTCGGTGAGTTCTTTAAGCTTTGGTAAGCTCCTCCTCTATGCAAGGGATGGCAAATGATCCGATTTCCACTGCTTCATCGTTCTTTCATCTCGTTTTAAGGCACTTTAATGGCGTATTTATTGCTCTATCGCTCCGCCAAATGTGTATTCACAAAACTTTGGCTATTCTTTATTCTTTGAGATTAATGCGATTTTGTTTGTGGCTTCTGAAATCATGGACTTTTGCCTTAGTTGAACTTAAAGGTTAATGAGTTGACTTGCTATGTAAAATCAGATGCTTATTCTGTCTCCGAAATCGCCTGGATTCTGTATTTCTTGAGCCTAGTCAGAATTTTGAAGCTTGTTTTGTAATAAACTCAACCTAATAGTGCTGCCGTCGGAGTCTGACCAATCCCCACGAATATGCATTAAAACTATTCCTGCAGCTCTTTTGCAGCTTACTGTACTATTCAGGGGACTTGGTGGTGTCAATCCCATTTGTTTATGAAATCTAGTCGCTCGGATCAGGCTGGTGAGTTTGTTCACCCCGAGCCTAATTTTCTCCCACTAGTGTGGTAGGGGGCGAAACGCGTTGGTTTGCTGTTATAGGCACGAGAGGTGCGGATCGAGCTCTCGGGCAAGGTGTGTACGTCAGCCGAGCGTGTGCGCGACACTTTGCTGCATGAGGCATGCCACGCTGCGGTGTGGCTGGTGCATGGCCTCAATGATGGCCATGGACCCCTGTGGCGATCCTTTGCTCGCAGAGCCAAAGCCGTCTTTCCTCACCTACCACCCATCACGGTGCGTCACACCTACGCCATCGATACCCGCTTCACTTATCGTTGCTCCGGTTGCCTCACTACCATCAACCGGCACTCCAAATCTCTTGACATTCGAAAGAAGGTCTGTCTTTCATCCGCGGTTTGCCAATTCTGTGGTCTTGTTTGAAACATTTTATTCCATTCAACCAGTCTTTTGTGAATACTTTTGACAACACCTTTCCTCCAAATCGATCCATAGGTTCAAAAGTTACGTAGCATAATCTATTAGTTCTCATAACTGCATGACGAATGCCCTCTGTTTTTGAGAAATCGCTAAAACAGTCTTTTCATATCGGGTTATTTCACAAGTAATGCCCTCTCTCCTGCTACCGATCTCCACTTTGTACAGTAAAGCTAATCATCAAATCCATAATTATAATATTTCACCGGAAACGTTCAGGCGCTTTTCAACACTAATAAGCCGCTGATTGACACGGTTAGAATGCCTAACGCGCATTTATTACTCTTGTCGTTTCTCCATAAAGTAAGCGATAGTTTGATCTCAAAACAGGTATGTGGCCGTTGTCAGTCTCGATTCCAGCTTTTCGTCAACAAAAATGGCAAACTTGTGCCCGTCAATTCGGCAGACGGGAAAACGGCGACAACCGCAGAAACAAGTTCCTGTCCGCGATCCGTGTTTGCTGACTTTGTGAAGGTACATTACAGGGAGGTACGTGGTGCATCCTCCACCCACAAAGATGCAATGGTTCAACTCAGTAGCATGTTCCATTCCATGAAACTTAAAAGTGACCAGGAAAAGGAGGGTTAATTTTCCCAACCGTGTTCGTTGTTTTTTAAATGTCCTTCAGTATGACTATTTTTTAAATATACTTTTGCATAATCTTACGACTTCAGTTTTGTTTTGTTTTTTTTTTTCACATAAAAGTTTGAGACTTATCAAAAGTTTGGTCTTTTGAGAAGACAAGCGATTAGGACTTCAAGATGCATGTGATTGTGTCAAGGGTGAATGCGTTAAGTGATCTGAATGAATATCCTACTCGTGGCTTAATATCATGAGTCATAAATCATGGTAATATTAAAGTCCAGTGTTTTATAATAGGCACCTGAAAATAGTAGCCAGTGTAGATGCTCACACCTGATCGGTTTGTAGGCTTTTATGTGGAGGCGACCTCGGCTGTTGGTACAGGAGGTGTTTCGCAAAATACCTTCAGCATACGGCGAGCTTAGATTTTCGCTTGCAAAGCACTCAACTAGCAATTGCGGTGATAATTTGAGGACAGATCGTGTAAAAGAATTGAAACAGCGAATGAGCTACGGGCCTAATCTGGGCGATTTTGTAAAATCGAGTACCCCTCTGGGTCTCCCAAACAGTGGCGGATGCGCTTCTCCAATTGGCCGAGTGCCCACTGGAAGGTAAGTTGTCCTAGTTTATTTCTTCTATAGAAGTGTATTTTCATCTGACCAGAAGAATTGTGATTCGATAGTCCAATATCTAGCGGGGAGTAATCAAAAGGTGCCATCATTTGTAGTTGGAAGTAAATTTAGATAGTTGAGCGCTGATGCATTCATGAATTGAGGTATTATACAGAAGGAAGAAACTACCTAGGCATAGATCCACCTCCTATGATTGGCTCTGATGCGTCAAAGTAAAGTGCGATCCATTATCTTGCAGAGGGCCGAATGTTGTGCGTCGGCGAGATCATCAATGTGTTGCATATTCTCGTACCAAGCAGACTTCCAAAGTCAAGACGTAGACTGCCGTGAATGAGTTTGGAGGTGCCATGCTTAACCGTCCTGTTAAAAGTGTGCACGCATTTTTTTTCTCCTTGATTGCTTGGGATCCAACGCGAGCATCGCTTATCCCTGCCCCTCCCTCTCTCCTCTCGTCTGTTTGGAGACGTAGAGAGCCACATTACGTGCTATAGGGAACCAAATGCTTCATTGATATGCGCGACAAGTAAGAAGTCCCGTGTTACCGTGGTAAAGTCGGTGTTTCGGCCGTTGACTCCCGTTCCCACTTTCTCCGAGAGGGTACTAGTGTACTAAATCGACAGTCTTTACAGCACAATCGGTTCACTGCCATTGTGAGAGTAGAAAGTGCCCTCCACACAATTGTTAATTGCATCGCTGTTGTGTCACATTCACGGTGGCAGAAGAAGAAGAAGAAGAAGTTACTTCCTTTGATGTCATCGACTTTCCTTTTGTTGAGCGT